AAAAGCAGCAACAACAAATGCTGTATTTGATGTTTAATTTTCAGTAGATTTAACTTCACATTGATGGGCTAGTACTATCATATCAACCTGACAGAAGTTAGTACTCACCATGCAGCTATTGTTCCTCATAGGTCTGGAAACAGAAAACTCAGCAGTTTGGTTGTGAATACAGTTGGTTAACATGGAATAGAAGAATGACTTTGGTTTGGCAGGAAATGACAGCAAAGTTTCATTCTATATGGTGGGCTGTCCATCTGGTCTATCCATGCCAATGGGACAGATAAATGAGAACTGTCAAAATTAGACAGCCACTCACTCTATTTCACTAAAATGTAAAATTACCCTTCTGGACTCACTTTTCAAAGGGCTGAAGAAACAGTATTTAGAGGGCAAAGCAAAAAATAAAACCTAAGGCCAGCTCTTCAACTTACTTACTAGTTGTGTGATTTTGCTCAAATCAGTTGAGTTTCCTGGGATTCGGTTTTCTTGTAGGTTTATTGAGGATAATAATGGCACCTACTTCATATTGTAGTGTGAAGATCTAATGAGATGGAAGATTTGAAAATACTCTGAACTAAATAGAACTGTTTAAATATGAGTTACATTATAATATAAACTCATAAAGAAAGGAGTTTCTCATAACCTCTGTCAGATGCTGATTTTGTTTCTGGAAATAATATAATAATTGTTGCTGTGAATTGAAATAATTTAATATTAAGTAAAGGAGAGAAAAAACCTTTATAAAAATAGAAAGTGTATTTTTAACATTTTCAACAGAAGATAAAATATTACTCTCTACAATTTTAAGTTTTCTAAGCAATTTCAGCCAATTTTTTCCACCCTTCTAAAATCATATAACAATACATAAAATCTTTGGATTTATGAATTTTTTTTTTTAATGGACACGTAATCTGTTTACAATTGAGCAGTTGAGCATACAGGAATATGTAGGTTTATCAGTGGGATTCTTAGTGGGACCATAAAGCTGTTAAGATGGAAAGGAATATGAAATCTTCTAATCTAACCCACTTGTATTATAGATTAAGCAAAACTAGACGTCAGAGAGAAATATAGATATAGTTCCATCTTCCAAACTAGTGTAAACATGATTTAACAAAATAAGTACATAGAATAAAGTCAGAACTGGAAGCCCAAAGGTCAGTTAAAAAAATTTAAAAACCAAATTGACAAAGATGTTAGATTGTTTTCCATCTTTGTCATTCATATTTATTTGCTATTTTCATTCATTTTGCTGATTGAAAGCATTCTCTATAAGTAAAAGATAGTTAATGGCAGGGGTTTAATATAGATTCTTAGCAAAAATTTAAATATAGAAAGTTCAAGAAATTAGTATTTCTGTGATGGAAAAAAAGACTAGTATTATTTTACTTGAGCTATGGAATACTATAGTATATGTAACACTTTGCTTTTCATGGATTCATTTTAAGAACCACTGATATAAACAAGTGACAATTTGCTACACTTATTTGTTCTCTATTATATTCATTTGGTGTTAGAATTCTGTAAATGGAGAATTAAGTCACTAGAAAGTCCTTAAAATAAGCCTTCCTTATAGCAGATTCAATGACTCTCATGTATATAAGATGCATATTTATATAATTATGAAGCAGCCTGCATAAAGATGTTCTACAGTCTTTTCGATAAATTTGTGCCAGTGTGTAACAATCTTTTATTCTGAAGAAACCAACTTTTTCCTTGAAATGATTTATATGTTAGTTGTATGTCTTCTGATTCACTAAGTTCATATACTTTGATTTCTTAATAGTGAATTGTAGAATTGGGATGTAGAATTTGGAAGTGGGACATCTCTCAAGCTTCTTTTAATTTAAAATAACATAATTTATCCCAAACAATTGAAAATAAATAATGATTCCATGGTGGTAAGTATAGGGAAATTACAGTATCTCATTCATTCCCATTTATACTAAACATTTAATTCCAAAAATATTATAATAACCAGTTAATATATGAATTTAACTTTAGAGTTAAAAAGCACTTCACATACATGTTTCATTTAATTTAAATAAAGAAAGTACAGATGTGTGAAGATAGATCAATAGATGTTATATCAGTATAACTGCATTACAAACCACCATATTTAATTTTTGTGTTAGTTTTCTATACGTATTATGCATTATTTGTGTGTAAATAGTTTTCTGTCTTATTCATCTCTTATTTATATTATATATTTAGTAGTTTTGTTTTTATTATTTTAGAAATGAGATTATATAGTAGTTTTCAGTGTTTTAGAATAAATGGAATTTCTATGAAAATAGTTTTCTAGTTTTTTTTTCTAGCAGAAGCTAGGTGATGGTCCATATAACTCCATCCATAAAAAAATTATTAGTTTTCTAATGGAGTTTTATGAGGTTTGCTTCCCTTTGCTTTGTTCCCTGCCTGTTTTAAAAAATCCCATTTTAGTTTAAATGATGTGTAAGAAAGGGTTGGGAAAACATTTTTTAAAAATAAATAATGATTTAAAAACATAGTAATTAGTTTGTGTGTTTTAAATGTATATATGAATCTCTGTGATGTCTTATCTGCTTTACTCTTTGCCGTGTGCCATTAACCAAAATTTGGTGAAGTCTGGTGGTGGTGTATTCTTAGTATTTTTTTGATTACTTTATGAATTCTTTGATAATAATATCCCCAGACAGAGAAAAATAATAAATCTTCTTTCCATATTCTTCAGTTTGTATGTCAGTGCTTAAATTGTGTCAAGATAGAGGTCACATCTTCATGTGACCTCTATCTTCATTTTTTTTACCCAAATGAAGATGGTTAAAATATACTGGATGTGTTTAATATAAACTACTTAATGGTTATTATGTCAGTATATATCAATTAATGAAAAATTAATCAAATGTTTCCTTTGAGGATACTAGTTTCATTAAAAAAAAAAAACACTTCTATGTGACCTCAGAAAAGTAATACTTGTATTCAGATTCTCAAATGAGATAACAAATAATATTTATTTAGGCGACATTTGGAGCAAACTATGTCACTTTAAAAAATAAACTTCTAATGACATTATGACAACATCCACATATTTGAACTCAAACATAGAATGAGATATGTGTATTTTCTGCTGAGTATAACGTGAAAGCAGTGGGAATTTGTATTTATTTCTTGGTTCATTTTAAATATTAATGGCAAAAACCACAATTACTTTGGCATCAGTGTAACATTTCAGCTGATACCCTAATTTTAAGTGTTGCAATGGCCAATTTGCTAATGAACATAAACACATACAGTGTGTGCCAATAGATTGTTTCTCTAAAGCAGAGATTAGCTTTTAGAAAACTTCCCCATGAGATTTACTATTTCATATTTAATGTTAATAAATGGGAATAGACATAATGTTGAAAGCCAGCAGAACAGAACAAAACTTTGAACAAAATAAGGCAGCATAGACTTCAATATTTCTCTTTTGATGAAACTGTCTCAGGTATCTGTATAGTTTATAGCTAAGGAACAGTTTGAAAGCTACTTTAGAATTGTCTTCTAGAAAAGTACACACAGTTGAAATCTGAAATAGCTGAACGTTGGTTTTAAGAAGAAAACTGCTTTTTCAGTATCCATGCTTGTCTCTCTAGCCTGAATAAATTACACTTATATTTAATAACCATTCAAATACGATGGTAATAAATTTATCACCATATTAATAAGGCTTGATGAATGAAATTTTAATAGAATGTATAAGGGAAGGTTTTTTCCTAATGAAATAATTGCAGAAAATCTGGCATTCTGTTACTATAGCAAAACTTGACAAAAACCAAAGTGCAGAACAGAAAGAATCTAGATTCTTAGTGAAATTTGAATTACAGCTTCTAATGAAATGTTAGTCTTCTAAAAAATATGTGTGTAAGCATAATCCATTGATTGGATTTAAGAGTTTTGTGAGGCTTTTGTGTATTCTAACTAATGTTCCATCTGGATTTTAGTATTTGACATAAATATTTGTACAGTCATGTGCATGCCTGATGACTTTTCATTCAATGATAGACCACGTATACAACATATACAACAGTGATTCCATAGTATTATAAATAGGGCATTTTAAGGTACATTTTCTGTGTTTAGATATACGAATACCATTGTGTAACAATTGTCTTCGTATTCAGAACAGTAACATGCTGTGCAGGTTTGTAGCTTAGGGGCAACAGGCAATGTATACCATACAGCCTAGATATGAAGCAGGTTATCCTGTCTAAATTTGTGATGTACACTTGATAATGTTCACACCTCAGGACGCATTTCTCAGAACACATTCCTTTAGTTAGGTGATAGTTGATTTTATATAATAGTTATAAACATGTCAGAATAATATATTTTTCTTAGTTTTATACAGGGTTAAAAAGTAAAGGGCAAAATACTGCTACTGTGTTCATGTTTTTAGTTAGAAATAGATGTGTCTCTTGAAAGTTTTTTCTTTTTGCTCTTTTTCATTTGTATGATATTTAAATCAATGCTCTGGATGTTTCCAACAAAACAATGAATATTGTTACTTTTCTCAGTTTGAGAGAATAGTAAAATACATTCAAGGGACCAGTGAAATGCGATTATAGGAGCTAGGTCAAATAGGAAAAAGTTTCTGGATCCCAGGGATTGTGAAATTGAAATTTATTTTTTTCTACTTCTGGATTTTGTTTTAGAGTTAATTCTTCACATCATTCTGAATTTTTAAAACTTAGGTTATTTAGGGAGGCAGAGGTTGCAGTGAGCTGAGATCATGCCACTACACTTCAGCCTGGGTGACAGAGTGAGACTACTTCAAAAAAAAAAAAAAAAAAATAGGAAATTTATAAGTTTTTATCGCCTTCTGATTTGTTAGAAGTTAACATAGCTTTCACTTCCCTGATTTTCATTTTATATATTTAATATGTGCTTTACATTTTGGAAAGGTGAAGTATATGTTGATTTTTCTGCTGTTTTTCTTGTACTGTTACATCTTTCAGAAGTGTAACATGCTTTCAAGAATTTGAATAATTCTGTCATACTCTAAAATATTTTTATGTTTATGAAAAATAGATCATGTCAAAAATGGATTACTATAATTTGTTTAATATTTTCCTAGAAGTGTTTTCTTTTTGTTTGTTTAATTTTTATATACTTTTTCTGTGGTAAATAGGGAGTTAGTTTATTTCTGGTTACTTACTGGGAATCTGAGATACTAACATTTACATCCACTTTTACTCACTGAACTCCATCACTAACCAGCAGTAGAATCTAGAAATATTACTTCTAGTTCTGTGATAGCTTTATTGTATCTCAGTGCCTAGTACCAGATTAACTGTATTAGCTTCCTATATTAACTTTTATTTGTGATTTTTTCAAGGAGTGGAAAAACAGTGTTCATTTTCCACTTTTCCCAAACCATGAATAATATGGACTAATGACATATTAAGTAGACTATAAGGTTTTTAAGTAAAATATTTACATCTATTCCTGTAAATCTTCTGCCTGCTTGCATCCAAGACAATATTGTACTTGTATTGGATAAGTATCCTGCCAGAATGTTTACTGAATTTATGCATTATTAAATGAATGAAAAAAAGGAAACAATGGCCATTATTTGAGGGTATTGAAGAAGCTTATGCAGAATAAAATGTATAAAACAACATAAATTCAGGCTCTAACTGAGTGCCTTAGATTTCATGTTCATGTGTCATTTTAGTTGAATTTTTACATCTTCTTCTAGGCCATACTTAATTTTTATTGAGTTGCTATGTTTAACAGTTTTTAGCAGAAGCTTAAAATAAAAGCACTAGAAAATATAAAGTTTAATGTACCTAATGTGCAAGGCTTCATAAGGTGCCCTATAAATGGGGAAACAAATAAATATGGTCCTTTCTCTTAATAGACTTACTTTCAAGAGTGCTGAAATTCACTATGTGTTACAAAAGTTTGTAACTAAAGTCATTATGTAGAAAGGTATCTTTGCCTTCTCTATCTTTGAATGAGCTGCTTGGTGATTCTGCTACAGGGATAAGTTCAGTACCCAGTGAATGATAATGATAATAAAATCTGCAGATTGTAGACTGTCTATTGCATTATTGCTTGCTATTAGATAGCGCTATGTATTTTTAGCTAGTTTTACTCAATATATTTGCTGGTGACAAAGTGAGTTTTCAAAGAAAAGAAGTAGCTGACTAGTAACATTTGGGGAGATCATCTGTTGAAACAGAAAAAAAAAAAGGGACAGGAATCTGAAAATGATTCTTTTCTTGACCAATTAGTGACAGAAACTTCTGAGTTACGCTTTTCTTGTATTTCATCATTAGCTGATTGATTGGGGAAAGAAAAGAGATTTTAATTTTACCCCTGTCATGCAGGGCGAGAATTCACTGTTTCAAAACGGAACTGACAAGTGAATTTCATTAAGACTGATAATATGGCAACATAGTGAAAGCTTGCAACTATTATCAGCATGTAGAAATTTTAACCAAGCTATTATTTTTGACCAATGTTCTATTACTTGTCATAGCAATCTTGTATCTAATGATGGTGAATATAATGGGTTAAAGAGGTTTCATTTTAGGTTTTCATTCAAAAATTGTTTGTATACAAGTATGTTTCATTTTAATATTTTTAGGTTTTGCTTACATTGTAGGGCTACCTTCATAGTGAAAAAAATGACTATTATATAATTTTGTTTATAATTGTGGTGGAAACAACCTAGGAATTATTAGTGAGAACTAGCAGTTGATACTGACATGTGTATTATCAACAGTAAATATTCTGCTTTATTAGCTGTTTACATAATAAAAACAAAGGCACAGATGTGTAAAGCCGTAATGAAATGTTGCTATTTCTGATAAAGGGATATATGATAGGGCTACAAGTCCTTAGTTCCAGGAATTTAAGTGAATTGCTGTGAGCCTTTCTTCTTCCCAATTCTGTGCCTTTATACTAACCCCTCCTTCCACACAGACAGACTCTTATAGTAGAAGGATTGTGACCTCCTCTTGTCACCATCCAATATAAACAGAATATGAAGTTAGGACTAGGCTTGTTACTGTATCTTTAGTGCTTAGCAGTGTGTCTGGTACAAAAGTCTTACCCTATAAATATTTGTTGAGTAAATGAATGAACACTCACATTTTATCACCTTAAAACCAGGCGTAAAAGTCCAGTTCTTAGACTTACTCGTTGCATTCCATTTCTTTTCCCTGCAGATTCTTTGCATTTTTCTATTTATTTTGTTGCCTTTTACTTGTTTGCACATTACATAGCAAATTAACTCGTTTTTTTAATGTTGTGTATTTTTATTCCATAATATTCTGATGTCAGTTACTAATAAATATTTGTTCCTATGGTATCTAGTAAAATATAAATGGTTCCATTAATGGAAAAAGACTTTGAATTTCCATATTTGTAAAAGTATTATCTCCCAACTTGGTTTCCTTTATAGCCAATAATATACATTATGATGGTTTTTGGCTGGTTCAGATACAGTATTATTCAACATTATGATGTAGTCCTGATCCTCAGCTTCCTTTTGTATAAAATGAAGCTAATACTTACTGGAAAGATTTGTTTGGTAATTAAATGGCTAACATCAAAGGACACCCAATTAAATGCACCTTCACTAAATGTTAGTACTTTTCCCTCTCTGTTCATTTATTCCTTTCATTGCTACCAATTTTCCAAAACTAGCCCACAGAATGAATAAATTCCTATGGCCCCATTGGCCCTTCAATTTAGCCTTTAAGGGCCTTAAATCTTTCTTTTCCAGCAGTATTATTTTGAGAGACCTGGACACCATCATTGACTGCCCTGTGCCTTCCTTTTAGTTCCTCTCGCACACTGTGTTTTACCACTGAGATTGTGCTCCAGTGTGGCATTCTGTACTGTCATTGTCAGAGAACTGCTTACATTGTTGGGATTGTCTCTATCCCCAAGCAGACTATAAGCCGTGCCTGTCTTGTTTAGTCCTATAGCTCCAGTACTTAGCAGTGTCTAGTGTGTATACTGCACTCTATAAATAGATATTAGATAAATTGATTTGCTTATTTGTTTTTCTGTTATTATGGGAAAGTGACTATGGGAAGAAGGTATCTGGATATTCCCTGATCCTGGAATACAATTCAGTGACTTCCCAAGCACACACTCTTTATATATTAGATGTAAATAGTAACAAGAGTTTTAATATGTAAAGGAAGAAGCTAAATTTTCTATCTATAAAAGCTATTCTTCTGGATTCTATTCCTTAATTTTCTATTATGTAGTTGAAGATAATGCCATTTAAGACTTACTTGATCTCTTTCTTAATAATAGATGTCTCTTTTCCATAATTAAGCATAGTTAAAATATGTTCTGTATTTTCCATATTATTTGAAAAACGATCAGGATTTTACTGTGTTCATATTAACCTTGTAAATTGATAATTCTTGTGTCAGCTCAAAGTTTAAAGCTTCCTGAGTTTAAGGAAGCTATTTCAAATTTCTGAAAGGTAATTTTTTTTTTCCTCTCTCTGAGTATAAAAGTCAAACCAGACAATTCAATATAAATTTAATCTCAAAATGCATAAAAATAATGGAGTATGCTGGGTGTTTATTGTTAAAAATATTGCACAATTAAATGCAGGCTACCTTGCCACTAGGTAAATTAGTCATGCAATAGGTTTAGTCTACTTAGAAATAGCACTATGAGGAAGAAAACAAAATTAATTCAACTGATAGTGTTAGATCAAAGAAAGAAAAGAAAAAAAAAAAAGCTTACTCTTGCCAAACACATGTTGTTAACTTTGTTCAGGTTGCAGCTTTTGTGTTTCGTTTAGGTTTCAGCTTGTCCCAGGAGGTGTTGCTATACTGTGAAGGTGTTAGGCAGTGTAGTAATGGAACAGGAGATAAAATGGAAGGCACATAAAATGTCTTATCATTTGGACTTTCCTGGAGAAACATAGCTTGAATATCTGAGTGGTCAGCTTGACATTTTAAAGCAGTGAGAAGTTGTGTCATTATTTCTAGAATACTACAGTAGTTAGAGGAAAAAGATTTAAAGTTCATTGCAGTAATTGCTGACAGCTTCCATGGAATGAGAGGTGCTTTTAGTAAGCATGTGCTGCCTTGAAAAAAGGCAACCTGCTAGGAACGTGAAGGAAGACAGTGGGTTTTGTAAGATGAGAATGACAAAAAGGTAGATTTAGATTTGGGCATTTTTGTACTCCTGAAATAATTGCATTCATTTTAAAGGTGGAAGAAGATTAAAATAACTTTTAAAGGTTGTTCATATGTTTATAGCCTTTAAGAAAACAAAGACTTTAGTCTTCTGAAACTAACACCTTACATATTTTCAGTAACAAAAAGTATAAAACCTGGTGGCTAGGTTGTCACAGGGAGCAAGGCAGCTGGTGTCACTGGGCTTGGCACAATCCATGTGAAGTGCTGAGGTGATCCCTACTGTAGCAGCATTCCCCTCCCTGGAAACCTGCAATTTGCCTCTTAGTCCCAGATGGGGAGGAAACATGCAAACAGCCGCAAGCCGTACATAATGGCAGGGTTCACATCCTGACCGGGACAAAGTAGAAAAAGGAAAAATTCAAAAGAGTCTTTATAACATTATTTGAGTCAAGGACTTTATGCTTTTTGTAAAGGTTGTAACACTTCTTTTTTCTTTTTAAAGTTTTGAGTATGTTATGTTTTGTGTTTTTTTTTTCTCCCTCCTGGATACTAGCCAACGTTCAACTGAAGGAAACACATGGGGATGGCACATTTATCACATCGCATGATTTTTTGCTTAAGTAGCTAACATTTATTGCTTCATAAAGAACATCCTGCATACATACCAACTAGGTTTCCAGTATATTACTATGCATATGTGTAAATGTATGTTCACATTTAAACAGACTGTTACCTGTGACCCTCAGAAACACATTAACATATAGAATTAGGCATGCCCAGAGGTTTCAAATATATGATCTAAAAGGTAGATCTTTACCCAAACCCCAAATCTAGGAATAGATTTTGTATAAATAAATTTATACTATTACTTATATAGTGACTAATAACTATTACTAATTACACAAATTGTTATTTATATAAAACTTAAAAAATAGTCTGGTTGTATTCTGTAATCATAGATACCATAGACAGAAGGGACTGCAAGATCCTTAACATCAGGTAGGTAGGCTTTTGAGCATTTTGCCTGCACAAATAAGTAGCATTACCTTTATTTCACAGATAAGGAAGCTAAGCCTCTTAGAAGGTAACTTGTACAATTCTAGGTGACATAGATGTGATCTTCGGTGCTAAATCACCAGTTAATAGAAGAAATAAAATTCAGTTTGTATAAATTTTAATATACTTACCTGACCAGAAAACATCAAGTATTCTAAAAGAACTTTTTTGTAAATGGATAAGGAAATCTCTTACATCTGATTAATGTAATATCATACATATACAAGTGTTAAAAGAAAGCTATTTATATGCCCTTTATACCTTATATGTCTGTCTACTTTGCTTTCTGTGGTGCATAGTCATCACTTTGATGTGTTTCATATACTTTAGTTCTGAGCTTTAGAAAGCTGGTTAAATGGTGATTTAAAATGGAGACAGATAACTCATTGAATAATCAAGACTTCAGTTCACAAGTACAAGGATGACATGCTTAAAGTAACTACTTACAGTGAGAAGTTATCTATTTGAATTAGTGATCTTATGTGAATATTTCTTGATTATTTATGCTGTACATTTTGCCCTGATGTTTTATAGTAGCTGAATATTCTTTCATGGCTGTGTGGGGCTTATGAGTGCTTGTTTTTCTCATCAAAATATTTTACAGTGCATAGTTGCCTATATATATAAAAAGATAGACATATATGTCTATATACATATCTTTCACTAGTGCCATAGAAACAGGAACTATATCTGTCTTGTTCACTACTGCATCATGGTGCCTGGTACAGAGCAGATGCTCAGTGAGTAATTTTGAATGATTTCTTAAGAGTTCTTCATACTTGGTTGTCCGACTAATAAGTTAACAGCATTTGTCTTTTGAAATTACTGCCATTCAAGCATTAATTCTTTTGTGCTTTACTCAATTTTAAATACTCTGTGGTTTATAGAATATGTTCTATTATATATTACCCATTGAGTGTATCCATTCCGGAAAAAATGGTGTTACTCACAACCAATATGTACTCATGCCTTTTTCCTCTTTTCATGCTTGCCCCTCTCTTGAGTGCCATCTAGTTCTCCTTTTATTTAAGTCATATCCAAGCTATAAGTACTGTTTTACCTGACATGTTTTTCATAAAGCCTCTGTATCTTCCCTGTACTTACATGTAGTAAACATAAGAACCTAGCCTTAAACCCCAAAACACTGGATCTAGAGCCCTTGCTCTTTAACCACAGGGCTATGTTGCTTGTTCTAAGTGAGTGATTGCATGCTTTTCCAGTCTTAATGATTTTAATGTAGAGGATATTATCATACAGTGGGAAGCAGGGACATAGCAAGTGACTTGCTAACAGTCATATATGTAAGCATTTAAACACAGATATTATAATCTGGCATTTCCATGATTTAAATACTTCATATGCTGCTTTGTAAATGTTTTTGCCTTTAATTATATATGTTCTGTAATCCTCCTCAAAATGTTCATTCATTCATTCATTAGGATAAGGAAACTAGATATGAGCATTGTAAAAACAACAACAACAAAAAACTGCTGCTGCTACATTGTAGAAAATAAGTATCTGGCACTGATCTGTCAAAATTTGTTTTAATTCCCCTTAATCACCACAAGTTTTCTCTTTCTCACTACTTGATAGATTTTATTAGTTATTAATTTCTAACTGATCAATCCTGCATCTCAGGGCCAAACGCAGACCCTTGTTTATTTGACTCAGACAAATAGTGCAGTGTTTATGGAAGAACAGTAGAGAAAGAACTTCTGTAGGCTTGATCTCAATGTGTATGACTCAAGGATATTTGAACCTGGGGTATGAAAAGCTGTTAGGTTCCCCTGTTGCTTTACTTCAGAGACCCAGTAAAGCTGCTGAAGTGTGTTGCACTGCTTTGGTTCCTCCCTCTGTTGCCGTTGCCCAGTGATAGAAACCCTGCTCCATTCCTTATCTATTTCTGTTTAGCCTGCCAGCAGCCTTGCCTTCTGACCTCATTTAAGCGTCCTTAGTGACCTCTGGCAATCCTATGTTGTGGGTCTCTTTGGGAACATACCCACTCAGCTGGGTTTTATAGTAATGATTTTACTTCTTACAGAAGTTAGGTTAAGAATTTTGTACTCCCCTTGTTAAAGAGATAATTTCACAATATAATTTGCTTCATAAGCCTCCCACAGTTATGTTAAGCAGATGGTTGCCAAACACCAGTTCAAAGTAGATTGCTCTTATATGAAATAAAATCCATGCTCAGGAAATTTGGCAGTATAAGCTGGTCTTTTTCCAAAACAGGCTCACTCAGACAAATTTCTCTTTACCTCAAGCTGGCAATCTACTACACCTGTATTCTACTGTGGAGCAAAAAACATATCAGATGGTATACACTGATTCAAAGGTATCATTCTTTAACATATTGACATCTTTTTTTTTTCTTTACTAACTACTACTAGCTACTTTGCTCTTGGTGTCATTGGGAAATAACAAGAATTTAGTCATCAGTTCTGAGTTCCAGTCGCAGCTCTGACTCTGAATATTTATATGATTTGGATATGTTCCTTCACTGATTTTGAGCTTCAGTTTCCTCATTTGTAAAATGAGGATAAAAGTACTTACTTCATAGAGTGGCTATTGTGATTAATTCAGTTGATATATATAAAATGCACCTAAATTCTTTCCTATTAGTAGTGGTTCTTCAATTAATATTATGTTGGTGTTGACGATTTGTGTTTAAAACGTAACTCTGTACTGTTATATTTATTCATCACCTGTGGTTGATTTATGTGGGGTCTCCCTAATTAAAAAAATATATAAATCAGTAGCAATGGTTCAACAAATACATATTGGGTGCTTCGTATATGTAAGGACATTATGATTTCACAACTATGAATAAAGGCAGTATTTCCTTTCAAGGACCTTACACTATAGGCAGTGTATAGGTAAGGCAAATGTACTAATGAAGTCACTTAATGTAAGGTGACATAGTTTCATAGGAGATGAGCTTTGTGCTCAGAAAACATTCATGAAAAAAAGTAGAAGATAAGTGATCTTTAATGGTGTGCTAATTTTTATAGAAATAGGGGACGTATTCCAGAAAATTAAAACAAGGGCTTGGGGAAAAAAAACAGTAAGTGGAGACATATAAATGTGTTTCAAGAAGACTGAGGACAATGGTTTGACTGGAAAAGGTACGAGTAACTAAAAGACTCATAGGACATATGGCTGAGGGATATGACAGGACTATATTGTAGACATCCTTAAATTTCATACCAATACCTTTGTATTGAATGTGTAGGCAGTGGGCAGTCCTTGAAGACATTAGGAAGAGTAATATAAACTCTGCACAAGGAAGATTAATCTAACAACTGAATATAGGATGAATTGGGGGAGAAAAGTCTAGCAAAAAGTTTGAAGAAAAGAGACCAGTTAGCAAGCTGTTGATACTCTTCCAGGTGAGAAGTCATGGGGATCTTAAAGTAGTTGTATCACCCAAGAAGATGCAAAAACAGTTGGATATGCAAGACACAGAAGATATTGAACCTTTAGGACTTAGCAAATGAAATCATTCATTAAAAGGATGTTTGCTGTGGCATTTCTATTTAAAGTAGGTTTATTTTCTCTGCATTGTGCAGTTCCCATGAACTAGTTGTCTGCCAAAAAATAGAAACTCCATCTGTGGGCCACAATGGTACTACTGTGCTAGGTAATGAAGGTATGTATTTTCATGATGTGCGTGCTACATAAGGTTTCATGCCTTGTGGAGGGTCATCAGGAAGTTAGATATTTTGCTCACCGTTCTTTTACATTTTTTTCCATGAAAGTAGGGAGGAAATTTTTGCTCTTTATTTTGTTGCCAAGATCTGTTTAAATATTAAAAAAATCTACATTACCAATTCACAGGTGTGATTTATCTTTATATCAACAATTGACACAAGACTGTCAAAACATGACCACAAAGCAAATCTTGAAATGCTATCCTTCATAAACTATTGGTTTGGAGATTAAACTTGATAATATTGACTTACTGCTCAAATTGCTGTCTTGACCTACCACCGATAAGACATAGCATGACAAGGAGTATAGAAATTAATGTAAAAAATGGAGGGGAGAAGGAAAAGATCGAATATTGACAGATTCGTCAGCAACTAGGTATACTGCATGGACATACCCTTGACAACACCAAAGCAGATTTTAAAATTAGGAGGTAGTTATTTTCAGTGAGACATGCATCCCTGTTTTGATAGAAAGTCATAATTCAATAGTTTGATTTATGAAAACGTTTCTTTATCTGACCATTCTGGACTTAGATTTCTGATATCCTCTTCAACTGGTGGACATAGTTTTACAGCTACCAAAAGAACTGCTTGCCTATGACTGATTTTTGTCCTAAATATAATACTAATGTCAGTTACTTGTTTCATTGGAGAGCCAGTACCATGTCATAAAAGGATGGGTAGGCTACAAGGCAAAAGATCTTGAGTAGTTGATATCAGGCTCACATTTACAATTTGCATCCTTTCAATAGCCACTTAACCATGCTTCAGTGTTTATCTGTGGCTGTCCTTCCTGCAATGCAGTCATTTTGAGTGTCAAAAAAGAATATGTCAATATTTTACAAATCATAAAAACTCATATTATTGTCATTATTATTACTATTATCATTAAAATGATTCTAAATCTGTAGTCTACCAGAGATTATTTTATCTTGCCTGCTGTTTTCAGGAACATCAAGCATTATTTTTCCCCATATTTTAGATGGTACTAGTGACTGAGTCAGGATAAACAAATTTCCCAAGGTGCCATAACAAGTTAAATGGCAGAAGGGGTGGTAGAGACCCTGGTTTTCTGCCATCAGGTGCAGGGTGATGCAACTACACTGTTCTTGGAATAATAACAGTATTTCAGAAATCACTACTATCTTAATCTGGAGTAACTTCAGTGGATTTGAGAAGTACGTAATATAGCTATTTTGAACAGAGAAGAAAGAGGATGGAGGGAACAGTGAGGTGATATGATGTACAGATTTAGAATGCTACCCAGAATTGGCTCAGCTGAAGCTTAGTGACACCAGTGTCTGGACATGTCCAATCATTTATAAAAAAATTATTTAAGGATGTTGTGAAGAAGCTATTTTTCAAGACTCATCTACCTATTTATCCACAGTCAAAAGGAACAAATATATGTGTGGAATTTTGCTGAGGATATTTAAAAAATGATTGCATATAGCCAGGCATGGTATCTCACACGTGTAATCCCAGTGCTTTGGGAGGCTAAGACAGGTGGATCATGAGGTCAGGAGTTCAAGACCAGCCTGGCCAAGATGATAAAACCCCATCTGTACTAAAAATACAAGAAATTATCCGGACATGGTGGTAGGCATCCGTGATCCCAGCTACTCTGGAGGCTGAGGCAGAGAATTGCTTGAACCTGGGAGGCAGAGGTTGCAGTGAGCCGAGATCCAGCCACTGTCCATTAGCCTGAGTGACTCTGTCTCAAAAAAAAAAAAAAAAATGATTGCGTATACCTTAAAATAATTTTTATTGTGCTTTTCCTTTAATTGTTTAGACTGTTGGTAAATTCTTAGTAAGTAATTGGGTTTTACATCACACTTTTTAAGGCAGTTTGTTTTTCTAACACATTATTTAAACAGCTGTTGGGATATTAACAGGGATTTAATCATGTTTGGTGTTTCTGTTTAGAAAGTTTAAATGAGAGAGAGTTGTATTAGTATAGAAGCAACTTCAATAAATTATTAGATAGCCATATTGGTTCAATTAGTGTGTATAATGCCATTTCAAGTGTCTGGCATAAACTGAGGAACATTCATGCTTATAAGTTATGAAATCCCTTAAGTGCTCACTTGAATTTTCATGGAACAGAAAGCAAGCATATAAAAAGTACACTTATACATCATAGCTGAAATACATATTTTTTACATTTTGTAAGTAAGAATTGTATTTTACTATATTCTGTTCAACACTGTGAAACAAATATTTCTTTAATTCCCATAATATTTACTTTCTTTAAACATTAAAATTAAAATGTGAACTTTGGCAACTAAACAAAAGTAAGTCACTAATTTCATAGAAAACTTGAAAGCTTATTTTATATTCTGTAAGATCAATAAATATATCATTTTAAATAGAGAAAATAAATCATAATCCTTCTGCACTATTTTCCTTGTTAGGAAACTTGACTAACTCGTTTGTAGATTAGTAGAATCAGGTCATATTAATAATAAAGTTTTCAGTTGTAGGAAGTTTAATATATACATATTCAAAAATGTATGAAATGATATTTTCAGTTCTGATACTATATATGCTGTTTTCAGAGCCTGACATTAAAAAATTATAGGATTATTTGTAAAAATCAAATTCCAATTATGAGGGTAGAATTTATTCTCTTAATTTGAAAATTCAAAATTAATAATATATTTATCATGCATGTAAAGTGATCTTTTTCTTAAAAATTTTAAAAATTGAGAATTCATATTACTTGAAGAAATAAATTGCCAGACTAAAAAATCATATGCTGTCTTGCATAGGTGGATGACTTCGTGAAGTTATAGAGTCAAAAGTAGTAAAGTAAAATGTCCAAGTTTTAATGAAATGCATTTTTACATTTGTATATTGTTCAGTTCAATAAATTTATTATGCAACCAAGTTATATATGTTAGTAAAATATTTCCTGTATTCTTACTCATGAACTCTTTCATGACCATTTTTGGAGTACATACTCTTCTGTTAATATGAGTTTCTTATTTAAGTTAATACTATTTTTTTTGCTTTGGACTTTAAACATTTACTATCATTATTATCAAAGTATTAGGCAAGTAGTAAACACTTAATAAATATTTACTGGTTTAATGATTTTTAAAGAGAAGTCAGTGCTGTGTTTTTTCTTTATTGGCCAAGGTAGATGACTTGAATGAATGTAAAGTCTACAAATGTATGTAATGACTGTTATATATTTTATTATCCTTTTCATTCTTATGTGAGTAAAATTTGGATTTGGATTTTTTTTTTTTTTTTTACTTTTTCAAGTATAATAGTGACAAAGAAAATGTCCATTATGACATTGAGTGGATTAAATTAATTTATTTTTAATAGTTTCACAAAATAACATGATTTTGCCTCATTTGGTTTTAGATTCTACCTTTTTTTCACAGTGATCTATACCTTTTTACCAGTGTAAAGGCTTTTATTAGTTATCCTTTATTGCCATATTAGTGAATTAAAGGCAAGTCTAGTATAACTATCCTTTCACTATTATGTATCTGGAAGCAATGGCTATTATGAAGCCTTTGACTGTAGAGAGCCTAGAATGATTACTGAAGAAACTTTTACAATTGAAAATTGTTTGGCCTGAAAGTCACTTTAAAAAAGAGGATCTGTACAAGTCTCTTTACTTCTTGTCATTTGTAAATGGAATTGATTAAACTAGTTGTTTTTATGGCATCAAGATTACATTCAGGTGTTTATAAATAGTATTTTGAAAGCATAAAGAAGAAGGGAAAAGCTTGACTTCGTAAGAATGTTTATATTATGAAGCATTTTGTTTGGAAAATATGTGGCAATTTTTATCCTGAAATATATTCAAAGCTTTTTCTACATCAACTTGATCATAACAGTTCTTTCCATTAACTTATTCTTTTTGTATGTTCACAAACCTGAGTCTACTAAAATATGGATATAACAATTAGTTATAAATGCTAAGAAATTTCCTGTAATGAAGATTAAAAATCTAATTTCAAAGATTTGAAAACTAAAGGAGCTGAATATTATTGTTCAGTGATTAATAGTTGTAATTCAATAGTTGTAGCATCATATAGTATAGCTACAAATATTATAAAAGTCTTAATATATAAATTATAATTTATGGTACATTTAAGTTTACAACTTACATGTAATCATTAATCAATTAAAATATTAGATGCTCTACATTAGTTAAAAACATCTTAACTAGTGAAAATAAATCATGGAATAGTTTCTATGAGTGGAGAAAACTTTTCTATTTAATAGTTAATATTCAAAGAATAATTTCTTTTTATTCTAGAATTTCAACCTAACTTTATTAAGATGGGTTAAAATTAGATATGTTGGGATTTTGTTTGTAGATAGGCACCATGTATATGCAAAATTTAATCTATGATGTGTATATTAAAATGTGTTGCACTTTATTGATTTATTGTCAGTACAGAAAAATGTATACATTCATATATTATAAACATATAATTCTTCATAGTATTGTTAGAGAAGGGGTTGCTGCAGCTTAACTATTTCTTGTCTATTTCTTTTTTAGCAGAGTATACATGTTTTTCTTTATTTGAAGTATATTCTTCTATAGATAGAAAATTCTAACTATATTTGTGGTATCTCATACTTTTAAAAAAATAACATTTTTATCTGTTTGATGTTATGTTTTAATTTCCCAATTATAATATTCTCAGTAGGTAATAAAGATCATTTAATAGTGTAATGTCAGTCATATTCTTCATAACTCTGAGCTGTTTTGAAATTTAAGAGACTCATAGTTTCAGGTTCTAAAACTACACTTTCAGTTATGTATTTCTTCATTCCTGAAATGGAATTCTGATAAACTTTATGCACACTAAGTGAAATAAAGTCATGCTATGTAAAGTTATACTTTTCAATGATTTTCTTTTTAAATTTTAAATGACAATTGTGAATGAAGTGTAAGACTATATGGGATAAGCAATAGCATTTTGCATTGATTTTGAAAGTTTTCCTTACCAGAAAAAATATCAAGGAAGAATTACTTAGATTGTGGAAAAAACTATTCATGCAAGATATATAACCCAGGAGCCATAACTGGAGACTTTAAAAATTCAACATGTGAAATTAGCATATATGCCAAAAAAATGCCCTTGAATAAAAAGATAAACCAACATTTTTGTAAAACGCATCATAAACACAGGGCTAAGTTCCTTAGTATACAAAGACCACTTAAATTCATTGAGAAAAGACTGATAACCTAATAGAAAAATGGGCAGGCAACTTTGATAAAGAACTCTGGGAAAAAATAAAGAACATTTCAACATGGAAAAAGATGTCCAACTTCACTCATAATTTAAAATGCTTTTTAAGAACCATAGTAAAGTACTGGTTTTAATCTGTCAGTTTGAAAGAACTATGTGGTATTGTAAAATAATGTCTGTAAATGCAAGCAACAAGAAATAATTTTGAATTTCCAATGATGAACTGGATGAACAAATTACACTACATTTATAAAAGGGATTCAGACTCTTTGGAATTTGAAAATTATGATACTGGTTGCCTTTGAGATAGGGCCTGAAAGATTGTGAGCTTGGTTACAAAAGAACTTAATGTTTTTCTGTCGTTTGTTTTTTCTTTGCCATGTTTATGGGTTCTTTAAACACATAAAGCAAATGTAAAGCAATGAAACTCTTTAATTAAGTTAATAAAACATCTCAGTGAATACTCCTTGAACATCTTCTATATACCACAACATTCTTGAGCATGCTGGCAATATAGATATGGATTAAATATTGTCCCAAATTGGCCAGGCATGGTGGTTCACACCTGTAATCCCAGTACTTTGGGAGGCCGAGGTGGGCGGATCACAAGGTCAAGAGATCAAGACCATCCTAGCCAACATTAAACCTCCACTCCACTAAAAATAGAAAAATTAGCTGGGCGTGGTGGAACTTACCTGTAGTCCCAGTTACTCGGGAGGCTGAGGCAGGAGAATCACTTGAACCTAGAAGGCAGAGGTTGCACTGAGCTGAGATTGTGCTACTGCACTCCAGCCCGGCAACAGAGCAAGATTCCATCTCAAAAGAAAAATAAAAAAATAAAAAAATTTGTCCCAGCTCTTTTAAAAAACCATAAAGTAGTACCAATTTGTGAATAGGGTAAAACTCAATGTAGTCAGTACTCTATTAGAGATGGGTCCAGGAAGGATGTATATCACCTTGTAGATCTCAGAGTAGTTTATATACTATAAGTTGATTAATCTTCACAAAAACCTTATGAAGTAGAACACTATATGTCCAGAAAAAAATAGAAGATAAGCACATGTCCTATATTTACTCATTTAATGCTCATAGCAACCATAGGAAGTCAGTACCATTATCATCTCCATTTTATAAAGGACATGGTGAAATTAAACCTAACTTTCTCACTGTCCTCACTCTTAATACCTAAACTGTTCAACTCAAACTTCATTCAGTAACTGAATTCATCTCTGTTTTGCAAATGTGAGACTCAGTTAAATAATTAGTTCAAGATTATAATGGTAGTACTCTTCTACCACTCTGCCTCTTGTTAATAGAGGCACACAAAGGAGAGAGAGCCATTTTGATAGTGTACCCTCTTGTAATAAGTACTAAAGACAAATCACAGACTGTGTGGTTTCTCTAAGATAACAATGGCAGTGAAAAGAACTTACTTCCTTTTTATGAAAATATTTCCTCTAATCAAGTAGTACCAAATAAGTTGTTTTGCCTAGTAACTTTGATATGACTTCTTAAGAAATTTTCAATATTACTGGATAAAAAAACAGATAGTCACTTAAAGCTTGTTTCTGCTTTATGAAAAGACTCTGTCAGCAATCCAGAATGAGGGCTGTGCTAACAAAATTCCAACTTTTCTGTGGGATGATCCAAAAACAGCAAACAGAAGGCATTAAATTTCTTAACAGTAGCAAGTGTGTACATGCATGCTATGCCATTCCTGTGATTAGCTGTTTTTTGGTGTGCATAGATTAGAGTTAGAATACTTATATTTTCAAACAACATGCTCTATAGGTAATTTTTTTAGATAGAAAAAATTAACAGAGTAACTTAAGAGCATATGAGGTCTGTGCACTACATTTATATAGCTCTAAACTGAATATATGTATTTAGTCTGATTTTAGAACATTTGCCTTGACAGTGTATCCTCATATGCCAAAGACATTTGCTGGATTAAGAGCCTGAATTGTTTCTCTTGCTCTGTTCAGAAGCAGGTTTATACAAGTACTCTGGTGTGAAACAGAGAATATGAAGTATATGTAATGATCATTAAATTAAAAGGAAGCATAGTTCAGTGTGTTAAGCAATATTTTATCTCAGTCCTAGTAACCTTAGTGACAGACTCAAAAGCCAATACCAGGATTATTAAAACAACTTATTTAAAAAGCAAATCTCTAAGCTAAAGAAACGAATGTATGCAGAAATAAAGACTCATTCTGTTTACCTAGAGTTTTCCTGAGCTATCTTCACTTTCATGACATTTCACTAAAATATCACAGAACACAGTATGTATTAACATGGCATTTGATGATGAACCCTATTCTACTTTATATATCATTTTCATCCATTTAGTAGAATGGCAATGAGTGGAAAAGAGATGTAGGTGAGAATATATAACATGTATTTAAAGTTTATTTTCTTCTTTTCAAATTACAGCAAACTCAGTAAAGCTAGAAATGCAGAGTGATGAAGAGTGTGACAGAAAACCCCTGAGCCGTGAAGATGAGATCAGGGGCCATGATGAGGGTAGCAGCCTAGAAGAACCCCTAATTGAGAGCAGTGATGTGGCTGACAACAGGAAAGTCCAGGAGCTTCAAGGCGAGGGAGGAATCCGGCTTCCGAATGGTAAACTGAAATGTGACGTCTGTGGCATGGTTTGCATTGGGCCCAATGTGCTTATGGTACATAAAAGGAGTCACACTGGTAAGCAGCTGAAAGAATAACCTGATGACTGCCTGTGACATCTGATGTTGATATTACCTGACATCTATTCTCTTTCCTTTTTATTCAGGGGTGGCAGTGGTGAAAACTACCTTTTCAGAATTCTGCTAGTATTGGATTGCAGAAAAACAGAGAGTAGCCTGGGTCTTGACTTCCAGCCTTCAAATCTGAATAGCATATCAGAAAAGAAGTTTGGGATTCAGTTTCCACAGTTCTTAATATAGCAATAATATGATAAGGGTTCAAAAGGTATAGGAGAATTTCATTATGTAACTTAATCTTTTTGTATTTCTATACATATTTTACCATACCCATGGGCAGGTAATATAGTTTGGTAGATAAGAGTTTATACAACAAAATGGCACTCATGCATTTATAAAAGAGTGAATAATTTTCACTTTATCCAGTTAACTCCTTGGAATACAATTTCTAATCAATCTCTGCCTACCACAAATCTCAGTAGCAGGCAGGTGCTTTTGTAGTTCAGGGATGCTACCATCTTTGTATAATTGTTGGTTATAACTCCTGCAAGAATATATGTAGGATTGAATATGACAAATAGTGGCTGGTGTGCAGGTTGGAATATGAAAAATTGGGATAGAGTGAGGAAAAAGCCCTCAGATTAATTCAGACTATATTTTTAGACATTTGAGAGGTGAAAAGTTTTTTTGTGAAAACTAACCAAATGAGAAGGCCTTATTTAAATATTTTTAAACTCTTTGCCAAATTTTTTTAAAAGCAACAGAAATGAGATGGTAAATGGTAAGCTAGGAGGATCATTGACTCTTAACGAAAAAAGTTCAAATTCATATGAAAATTGGTTTAATGGTAATGATGGCTTTCACTATAATGCAAAGTAGTAGTATACAGTGAAATATTAATAACTTAGAGTTTTAAAATATTTACTCTTTTGGAAGAAATATAAATCACAATAAATAAATTTATTTAAAAGTTTTATTTCTAAATAGTTTAATAATTACACACTTAAAACATTAACAATATAAGGTAGGTCAAAATCTTTTGTAATCCAAATCTTTCATATTAACATGAAGAAACAGTCAAATGATTGTCCATTATCCCTTATTTAGGTAAAGGCATTGCTGAAGCTAGAACCAGGGTTTTCTGATGCCCATACTGGTTTTGTTCAAACAAGCTATTGCTTGGTATGTCAGTATACCAAGAATTTAATATGAGGTATGACCATAAACTAAGGCTGATATGTAAAAAAATTACAGTGAGAAGTTATATACTAAAATCAGTGTTATCATAATCAAAATCATCAGCTTTAGAACATATACACTTATTCCTGTCATACAGTGAGTTACATTTTGCTTTTTGGTTTTTTATCTCTTTTTTAAACAGCACCATATTTTAAAAATATTTATATTACTAGTGCAGTTTTTTTTCTTTAATTTTTAGAAGTGTCTCAGCTATGCTCATGAAGTAATTCTAACTACAGTTCTAAAAGCAAGTTCCACAAAGTTGTAATATTCACTATGTAAGAGTGATTATATTAAAGAAGGTAACACTCATTCAAATGTGTAACTTCTGTCTAGTAAAATATGAACAAAACAAAATCTGTCTAATGATTTTTTCAGTTGAATTGCATGGAATGTTAAATTTTAAGCCTAAAAACTGAAGTAAAAACAGTGTTTAGGTTTTTAATTAATCTTTTATGTTCTGAATTTAAAAAATTCAAAGGACCAGAGTATACTTTTTAGAAAATTTCGGTTAATCAATGATTCACTGTAGATACAATAATATTCATGAAGATTGTTAGTTTGTAATTACAATAATGATTACATACCTACTCTACTGTCCTTTTGATATTTTACCAATGTGGTAGAGTTGAATTATTTTATTTTTGAAAATAATCTAATTGGCATGAAAAAGTTAATAAATAGATGTACAGATTTCCACAAATCCTAGGAATATGAGACTCACTCAACTAATAACAGCAAGGAGTATGTTAATGTACACTTGGCAACACTTTTCTGTTAATGTTTATTGGAGTATTATGCAAATTTTTACCCCATCTTCAGATCTAGATTTTTCTTAAAACTAATAGCCATTTATGGAGGAGCTGTGATACCTGCCATGCTTTGTCGACTTTGAAACTGTGGATGTGATATCTTTAAACTAGACACTTAAACGTATTTCTGATGATCCAGCTTATATACCTGAGTGTGTCCTGACATTTTCAACTCCACTTTAGTACCATTTTTAGAATAGAAAGTCTGTCTGCATTTATTTAACTTAAACTCAATTGAGAAAAATATAGTCAGAATGTAGTCATTAGCCAAATATTTTCTCCTTAAAACAATGAACTAGTCTGCATTTTAGAACTTTCCACTCTTACCAATTATTTATATCTGTCTCAAAAACCTTATAATGCCTTTCAGAAACATATTTTTTAGTCCTTTTAGTTCATAGAATATCTAACACACACACACACATACATACATACATACATACATGCATACATACATACATACATACATATATTTTTGAGATGAAGTCTTGCTCTGTTGCCCAGGCTGGAGTGCAGAGGTTCCATCTTGGCTCACTGCAACTTCTGCCTCCCAGATTCAAGCGATTCTCCTGCCTCAGCCTCCCAGGTAGCTGGGATTACAGGTGCCCACCACTGCACCTGGCTGATTTTTGTATTTTTAGTAGAGACAGCGTTTCATCATGTTGGTAAGACTGGTCTCAAACTCCTGACTTCAGGTACTCCCCCTGCCTCAGCCTCTCAAAGTGCTGGGATTATAGGCATGAGCCACCATGCCTGGCCTCTAATATCGATAGTGAAAAATGATGCACAACCACCCAATTCATTACAACATCATGGAGTATCAAACTGAATCCACTTCTTCTTCTTTCTCTATCATACTCTACTAAAGTACCAATTCCAGTGTCTTCTTAAGTAACATATATATTTCATGTTATTTATTTGATATTGCTACTTTAGTAAGTAATCAGGTAATATTGTCATTGGATACTCCAGGCACTCTTCATTGGAAATATAGAGAGAAGAGTAAACAAATAGAAATAGTAAATCAATTCATGCATGAACACAAATCAACTGGAACATTATAAATACAGAATTTCCTTAACTTTGTCTCTCCTTAGCCTACTCCCATCTTTGTAACTCAATTTTCTGCACCATATTTTGTACATTGCAGTTTTGTGCAGCCATCCTCTTGCTCAAAGGCACTCAGCAGATGCTTGAGATTCTGCATATTTGTAGGTTGTTGTTCCACCCAACATAGGAGCACCCTCTGTCTTTGATGCACAAAAAAGAAATTGAAATGCATATATATATATATATATATATATATATGTATTTCAATTGAATATTCAAGTGCAAACCTAGAAATAGGGATTTATGAAGGTATATAAAATATTGAAATATATTTCATAATAAAAATAATATATAATCTCACCCCATCAATAAATAGAAATGGACCAGTAGATTGGTATATTGGATTTAAAAAAAAAAACAAAACAACAGATTGAAATGTGGACGTGAAAGATACATGACCATGTCTTAACTGTTTTCCTAGATCTAGTTTTATTAGTCTAGACATTTGTTCCTACCAGGGGGAAGATTAGCCATTATGGATATAATAAACTACTTAATGTTTTCCACTTGGATTACGCTATTAATGCAGTTCGTAAATTTGTGAGGTTTTCTTAAAACTTTGCTTTGATTAACATATGAAGAACATGATTAATATTTTTTCAGACAAAGTCTAAACTGACTCAAAAAGGGCCAATTGCAGACCATTTAAAGAAGAAATGATTTAAAAGAAATAATTGAGATATGTTGTTTTAAAGTTGCATAGACAGTATGGAATTTTTTGCATATGTACTGTTTGCATAGAGAAAAGATAGTTAACTGAAGCTTTTACTTAATTATCAGATAATTTTACACTTATCTCTGTAATGCGAGGCCAGAAAATACCCCATGACATGAATAAAAGGGTTGCTAATGTTTTACAGAAATAACTTTTTCAAAAATTGAGTCAATTCACTTTTTGTTATTAGACAGATATGGATATTACTCCTATATTTGGATTATTCCTGGAATTTAACTATGTATATTTTTCAAAATCTCATAAATTACCCTCTGTTTTAATCCTTGTTTCTAATATTGTCATTGAGGGTTTCATTATGATTATAACTAACTTTAGTTTGGAACACAGTAAAACAGCTGGACTCTTGAAATGATAATTATCTTTTCATATAATCGAGAGATTAATAGGAATTAGGCTAATAAAATGAGGAAACCCATAAAATTAGTATCCAAATGTGAAAAGCGTCTATCAAGACTTACTCATAATTCAAATCAATATTTCCCAAAGCCTTACCTGATTGAAATTAAAGTGTATTATTTTCCATGCCCCCTTTTTCTTACCAAAAAACAAACAAAGCTAGTTACTTTCATCATGTCTTGTTCTTCTTTACTTCCCATGCCCATGGGAACTTACCGAAGGCATCCATACAGTATGACTTCCACACTCAGCAACAGAACAGTATTTTCAGATATACCTAGGTCACCTTTTGTTTCTTTTACCCCATTTGAGGATGAACATATAAATTCAGAAGTAATTTCTTATTAAAAAGATTTGAAGATATCTGGAGTATTTTGTAAATATAAAAACTAAACTACCTTCTCATTAATCTCATAAAACTCAATTAGGTGAATTTTAAAATTCTTTTTTAAAAAGATTTATCATTATTGTTTCATTTCTAGACTAGCTGTATTTTTGAATAATAATGAACTACTCTGAATTAGGGATTTTGAAATATTTCAACTCAAACATTGTAAGAGGTTTAAAGAAAATCTGAGCCAGCATGCTATAGCAGTATTATCTCAAGGCAAACATGATTTCAAATTGTTCACCACACTTAGTAATTTAACTGTTTTGCAAAGTTTTTGTGAACTAGTTTGTTATTTGCTTGGGAAATGTTACAGGGACAGATTTTAAAAGTAAAATCAAATATTTGGAGTGAAAAGTATAATATATATTTGCTATTTTCCTTTTTTTTCAAAAAAATTAATTTGTGAAAGAAGTGCCTTCATCTTCCCTTTTATTATGATGTAATTTCATGGCAGGGGTAGGGAGTGGAAAACTCTTAATTTTAAAAGTTGCAGCCTGTGATTCTATTAGGAAAGAGAATCAAAGAATCAAATTGTATATTATGTGTAAAATAAAAAAGATCTGCCAAAATTCAATTTATTTTAAGACCTTATGTTGGAAGACTTAATGTAAGGAGATATAGAGCTTACCAAATTAATCAAACTAAAGAAGATATGACTTAAGGGAATTTTAACATTATAGATAATTTTTTCAACCCAATATTATCAATATAGGTCATCTTGTACATGCAGTTCATAAGAGCTCCAGGTTTTTTAAGAAAAAACCTTAACCTCCACCATACACACAGATTACACTTTTTTGATATGTACCTCATTAAATTCTTGAAACACTAAGTACTACAGAATTTGAGATATACCTCACCTATCAATTTTTAAATATATCTATGTTTTATAACAAATCTATATGGTAGAATTTGCAGTAGCTGCTGCCAGAAAGTGACCACAGTTTATCTTCTTTATACCTCTTAGCTTTCTTTAATGAAAGAATCATTGAGTTCACATTATGTCAATGGGCCAAAAAAACTTGAGGTTTTTTTATTCACTATTATTATGTGTGTTTCAGTTAAAGATATATGAAACATGACATTTCAGTGTAAGCTTTCTGAAAAACTATTAAAATTACAATCATCATCTAACCTCAGGTACAGAAATGGTCCAGTTCAACCAAAAGAGAATTGTTTTTTAATGTTCTTTTTATTTTAAACTTTGAGGTTTCATATGATACATTTTTTCTATTTACTTATGTATGAATTTATATTTTATTTCATGTATATCTTTAGAGATAGGTGAATTTAAAATAATAGTATTCTTTTTATGGTTTCATAATGTTATCAATTTGATCCTACTTGCCAATTTTACTGCTCATTGCCTACATGTTTTTATGTTTGATGACACTGGTGAGTCAGTTGACAGCAACAGACCAAACTTATAATTGAGGCTTAAAAAACTTTATAGCAATATTAGTAATAGAAAAACAGGGAGAAAAGATTCCTTTCAAACAATGATTTTAGCAAAACCATACAGAAAATGTCTGGATGAATGATGTTATTTGGAAGTTTTGTCAAAGGTTTTACTATTTGTGACCAGAAGAATCAAGAAGCCTGGCCTGTATTTGAAGATCTTGTACTAATGAACTTTATAAGCTGGTTCATTTGCTGTACCTTTTAGTTCACCCTTTCCTTATCAGCTAAATGAGGGAGTTAGACCGAAAGTCTCTTTCAGCTAAAAATTTCTGCCAATTTTAAAGAGATAGCATGGTAAAATAAAGAGAACAAGATTTTGTAGTCAAACCAACCAGGTCCATTTCTCACCTTGGCTACTTTCTATCTCTGTGTAATAAAATACTTTGATCTATGAGCTTTGATTTCTTCATTTTTTAATTAAAATTAATACTACCTAATTATTGTCACTGTAAGAAGGGAATGAAATATTCTATGGAAAGCATACAATTGTGAGTAGGGCAGTAAAGTGACAGCACCTCGTTGTTCAACCAATGGTAAATGCTATTCTTGTTATTCTTTTGAGTTAATGATAGGACTTTTGTCACATTTCTACATAGAGGGGAAAAGGTCACTTGATATAAAGCTTGAAACATTGGTAACTGTATTAGCAAAGCAAATTCTAGGAAAATAAATGTTTAAAAGACTTATGAGGGAGATGAAGATTTTTTTTTAGCATAGAGAACTGGCTTTGGTTAACAGTGGATGGCAAATTAGCCGCTTGCACATACCCTAGTTGATCCTTCCCATTTCTTCTCCTTTCTGCAGGTGAACGCCCCTTCCACTGTAACCAGTGTGGAGCTTCTTTTACTCAGAAGGGCAACCTTCTGAGACACATAAAGTTACACTCTGGAGAGAAGCCGTTCAAATGTCCTTTCTGTAGCTACGCCTGTAGAAGAAGGGACGCCCTCACAGGACACCTCAGGACCCATTCAGGTAAGTGTCACCAACTCCTTGGGAAGAAAAGTAAAATAGGAAAATTTAGAAGTATGCTATTAAATAATAGTAACATAGCTTTGGTATGTAGTCAGTAATGACCAAGACAACATTGTTATTGGTGTACATTAAATAATTAATAAATCTTGCAGGATGCATGTATCTTTCATTTTTAGACTTACAGGCTTGGCAAAAAGGAGCATTATCAACTGAAGAGTATCTTACTTTAATATATTAGAATAAGATGGAAGCTGTTGTGTATTTTCTATTATTTTAAAATTTTATGATTAAGAATGCAATAAATATGATTAATCCAGGATAAGTGAAGATCCAGTATAATGTCACAGTTATGTTTCAAGTTACTATAGAGGAAATGAAAACTGGTTTTTTTTTTACTGATTTAGTGCTCAGGCTGGAAACTCTGTGGAAAATAAAATTGTTTCTTTTAAACTTGAAAATATACTCAGAAAATTGGCTGTTGGAGTATTTTATATTCCAGTCTTAACTCTTCTTGTATCTTTAGCTCTCCAACTATAGTCATTGGGTACTCTGAAACTTTCCTGTGTTTCATAAATAACCAAAAATCTAGAATATCACAGGTTCTCAGGAATAAAAGAAAAAAATCTTTAAAAAATTTGATGTTTTCAAGGAATGCCAGGATATAACACATAAAAGAGAAATAATGATCAGAAATCTGAATGAATCTCATTGACTTTTAGCATAAATTTTCATAACCAAGAAGTTAATGATAGAAAATTAATATAGAATACTCTCAAACCAGTTTTATTTGTTCCTTCTGTTTGTAATGACATACTAAATTTTAATTGTAATATGAAGATATGATGGAAGTGATATTTTAATCTACATTGAGAAATTGTATTGGAGAGTACTAAGGTGGTGAGATAATGCTTACTGTATTATCTCTCTTTACATTTACCCTTTTTATCCTAAGGCTGTACTGAGTTTTTAAACGTGAATGTGAATTGTGTAAAACTACTTTAAATATTCTTAAATTTGGGGCAGTTACAAAAATTAAATAATTGCAAACACAAAACCAAAATATTTTAAGCATATAATTTTCTTTCCTCCCTGAGTTAAAGGAATTCACTTATTTCTAACTACAATATTTCATGTTTTATGTTTAAATTATGCTATCAAAATTATATCTTAATGCAGTAATTTATTATGAAAAGTATTCTTTATTGAAAAATAATTTTAGGACATGACAGGTATTTCCTTTAGCTTGTCATGTACTCTAGCCAGTGTAAATTATTACTGAGTTGTCCAAAGATAATACAACAAATAGGTTTTCATGAACATATGTTTTTGCCTCAACTTTGTGTAATAAATAACTTTAAACATCCATCTTATTTTCGTTGAAATTGTGTTGTTTTTAATATTATGGTTTTGTGTGTGCATATTATATTGTCTTCACAAATAAAGACATGATCTTTATAACTGCCATTGTGCTGATTTTGCAATTTAGTATACCAAGTTATGATTTTTGCAGATCTAAAAATAGATATATTTAAATTGGGTAATTCAAGAGTGTTTAATAGAGTCACTGTTGGAGAGGGGCATCCAGCTACTACATCACCAAGAGCTGATACCAATTCAATCATGCTTCCAATTGGAATCTAAAATATTAGCCATCCCCAATGTTCTTCATAATAGATAGAACATAACAGAGTTGCTATAGTTTTTGCTTCTCTAATTGGCCTGAAAGCTCAAAATTGATCATTATAGTTTTTTTCTTCCACTCAATTCCATCTTCCACTTACTCTCTTTAGCACATTGGCTAAATAAGGTTCTTTATCTGATAGGTGACTCAAATTTTATAGATTCGGAGTCTTCGGTGGCCCTGTCTTTCTTACATTACTACAGTTTTTCAATAACCAAAATTATTAGATAAGTATTTCTAAAGAGATGCCCCAGTAAATCGCCTGAGTTCCAAGCATAGTTCTTGTCCTCGCTGTATAGCAACAGCTCCAAATCATTCTAGTAGTCTGGAAAAATCATAAGCTAGTCCTTGTTTGTTTAGCAGCTTGACATGCTCAGAATAGATAGTGAGTGTCCTCAGCTTCCAATACAGCAGGACCAGAGCTCTGAAGCCTGGAGAAAATGTTCTTCTTTTGGGAACTGAAATCTCTAAAACCACCAATCTGAAGGTTTCAGGACACAGAGTAAAAAACCTTAAAATCGGTTATTTGATGTTATTAGAGTGGCCACCTCTAACTTAACCTCTTTGTTCTCAGACTCATGCCTTCTGGTTATGGAGGAGATGACGTTGGTCATATATCATATCCTGTAGAACACACCCAAACTCCTCCCAGATGGTAACCATGCATGAACCACTCCTTTGGTAGGCCATTTCGTCACTCCTTTAGCCAGCTGATTCTGGATGGTGATACATGGGTTATGACACATGCAATCTATAGATCTGAGCTAATGGTATTTGTCTTGCCATTAAAAGGAGTTTCCTGGTTGAAAGCAATGTTGTAAGGAATACCACAGTAATTGGTAAGGCATTCTGTTAAATCCATACTTGAGGGAAGTTGTAAAAATATTTAAGAGAAAGGGAAGGCACATCCCGTTAGGATAAATTTCTTCCTCCTCCATGTTGGGAAGAGTCAAATGTAACCTGCAACTACCTGCTTGGTTGATCTCCCTCAGGAATGGTGCCATATCAGGGTCTCAGCACTGGAAAATTGTGAGCTTAGCAGTGGTGGTAGTTAAATCAGTCATGGAGAGGAGGAAGTCCATATAATTAAATCTGTTCAGTTTCTGTATTCCTACTCCCATTATCGCTTTGTACATTGGCCCACTGAGCAAGTACCAGGTAAGCCTGGTAAAGTATCTGACATTCATGAGATTACCTTGTTCAGATTACTAAGAGCCTTCTCTATAGTGAATGCCCTCTAGAGAGAATTTACATGGAATATCATATCATCACATTTTGTACCAATTCTGAAAGATACATCTTTATAACTCTCTCCTAGACCTTCTATCACCACTTGTCCAATTTTGTTCTTTGAAGTCTTTGACCATATGGCCATGCCATATATCATTACCTTAACTGTCTCTTCTATGAAAAGTGTACAGTTAAATGTACTAGCTGAAGGAAATTCTGGCTGCTAGAGGGATAGCCACTGTATTTCAGGGCCAGCTCCCTTAAGTGGACCTGTAAACACAGTAGTCACAGCTGCTATTGAATTCCAGGCAACCTGTTTACAAACCAGATCCATACTGTTTCATCCTCATTAACTGGTCACTGAGAATACCCCATGAGGTCATGCATATGGGTTGAAGGAAACAGATTGAGAAACATTAATAGTGGGTATTAGGGACATCTGAGCTAGTTGCTCATACAGTGTACTTGGGCTTCCTCAACCAGCATAAGAAGGCTTCGGGGAAGAAAAATTTACCAAATAAATGCTGTTGTACACATTTTTGATATGTTGAGTTAGATAACACCTAGGTTTTGATACACAGTTTGGGCCACATTGTCATTGGGTGTCCTATAGCCTGGTACACAGTCTTAACCACAGTTCATTAGCAAGTAAGGAGTGGCTTTTCAAATGGAGAGTAGTTCTTGTTAGAAGATTGCATGTCTTCACTATAAAACCATGAGGGATCTCCACACTGAGGCTTCCATTGGCAGAGATGTCATACAGCCTCTCCATTTACCACAGACATTTCCAAAAATCATTGCATCTGCTGAATTTTAGAGTCAAAGGTAGAGGGAGCTTTCATCATGGCAGGAGTATGATGTAGATCCTTTTCTTACCCCAGGCTGCTGTCAAATTGGACAACCCTTTGTTTACCTAATACATGTACCACAGAAGTTTGCCCAAATGTGGTCTATCTTGCCTCTAAAATCTAGAGAGGCCACCACATTTTGTGTTTCATTTTTCAGGAAGGAAGGTGCAGGGTACAGCAATTTCTCACTTAATATGTAGCATCTGTTTCAGCAATGCCCAGATCACTGGCCCATAAAATTTTACCAATGCTGAAAGTCTCTGAACACTCTTGAAGTTTATCTCCTATTCTCTACCATGTATCTCTTACTGAGGCATCTCAGGTATTTACCATATCCTGCTCCCAAGTTCAATCAACGTTATATTATGAATATAATATTCCAGCTTGATGTTTTGTGGGATATCAAGATGAACAAGATTTCTCCAGACTATGTTATGACAAAGAAAGTAGAGTTTACCTAGCCTTACGTTGAGATAGTGAAAGTATGTTTTTCCTGTAGTGTGAAGGGAAAAAACTGCTTCTGACTATCTTTGTTATATGAATTATCTTAAACAGAAATCAAGCCCATTGCTTTATGCCTAGTGTCGGGGACTATGCTAATATGCTCCAGGAAAGATCGTACAGCTAAAACTGCATCAGTTAACATGATATGATTAAGTCTGCATCAGTGTCATATATTCACCTAGTAAACAATTTAAATGGGTATATAGTATGAATTATCACTGCTAACATCTTTCAATTTTCTGATGGTTTCATTAATATCTGTTATTCACCCATATAATTATTATTTCTTTTAGTTTGCTGTCTTGGGAGAGATGATGGTTATAGGGCTATGCTGTCCAATACGGTAGCCACTAACCTCATGCGGTTTTTAAACACCTAAATATGGCTAGTGGTACATGTTGAAATAATATTTTTTATTTTTCTTATTTTTTTACTACAGTTTTGTGTATATTAATTACACCTCAATGAAGTTGTTGGGGAGAGGGAAAAGATGCTACCATCCCATGTTTCTCTGCTTTCTCATCATTGCCACATTACCAAAAAGTAGTAGTCTTAGTATTGCCCATTTTATTTAGCATTGCAATTGCATAACCCTTCAAATCAGATTCTGGAGTTGGTCTACAGCCTTATTTGCCCAGAGGCTTAAGTGGATAAGGAACCCTTTTAAAGCTGACATAAACTTTGTGGTATTATTCCTGTATTCTGACTTGAGTATTCAAGGCATTCAGTTTGTCTTT